TCTTCAAATGTAAAATATAGACATTACAAACAAAAGGATTCCCTTGAAAGTGTGAAGTTAGCAGCAATCCTCCAAATGCTGGAGAAAGTGTTTTTTATTTTGTTTATTTTTGTTTTTGGATTTTTTGTTTGTTTGTTTGTTTCAGGTGTACAAAACAATGCAATAGTTATCCTGTTCACCCCTCACGAAGTGACAACTCCCTTCCCCCCATTCACTGCCTCCCCACCCCCGATATCATACATATTTATTATAATTCCACTGACTCCATTCCCACACTATACTCCACATCCTATGACTATATATGTATTAAATTATAGTTGACATGTAATATTATTCAACGGCAGCTTCAGATGTACAGTGCTGTGGTCAGGCCTCTACACCATCCATGAAGTGGTCTCCCTAACAAGACATGAGACCATCTGGCCCCCTAAAAAATATTTACAACATTATTGATTATATTCCCCAAACTGTCTTTTCTATCCCTGAGGCAATACTGTAGTTACCAATTTATGTTGTCTTGTCCCTTCCCCTTCTCCCTCATCCCCACCCTCATTCCATCTAGCAATCATCAGTTTTTCCTCTGTGTCTCCGAGACTATTTCTGTTTACACTGCTCGTTTATTCAATTCTTTAGATTCCACATATAAGTGAGATCATATGGTATTTGTCTTTCTCTGACTTATTTCACTAAGCATAATGTTCTCTAGGTCCATCCATATCGTTGCAAATGGTACGATTTCTTTCTTCTTTATAGCTGAGTAATACTCCATTGTGTAAATGTACCACAGTTTCTTAATCCCATCATCTACCGACGGGCATTTCGATTGTTTCCAAGTCTTAGCTATTGTAAATAGCGCTGCAATGAGCATAGGGGTACATATATCTTTTCAAATTAGTGTCTTGGGTTTCTCTGGATAAATACCTAAGAGTGGAATTGCTGGGTCATACAGTAGTTCCATTTCCAGTTTTTTGAGATCCCTCCATACTGATCTCCATAGTGGCTGCACCAATCTGCCATCCCACCAACAGTGCACCAGGATTCCCTTTCCCCCACAACCTCGCCAGCACTTGTTGTTTGTTGACTTATTGATGACAGCCATTCTGACCGGGGTAAGGTGGTATCTCATTGTGGTTTTTATTTGCATTTCCCTAATGATCAAAACACTGAATTCTTAAAGCTGTGTACTTCACAAAGTACTAAAAAGTAGAAGTCTAAGATACCGCAAATATGAAGTTCTGGTACTCTAATTCCTGATTATTAGTCCAAAGAAGTCCATGTCTTGTTGCTACTCTTCCCACTTCCCTCACCCTAATAAACAACCAAATTCATTCACAACATAATACATCCAAAGGGGGAAATAAGCATAAACACAACTTGCTATCTACACAATTAGCCACACTACAAAAAATAACCTATACATACTATATTAATGCTCTTTCTCTAGAGGAGTTTTCAAATATTTCCCTTTGGTGCTTCTAGTGACTTTTTTTAAAATTTAGAGCACAGTAAAATCACTGTGGAGTGGGGTGGGACTTTCAAAGTCTGAGTAGGGTCTGGGAACCTGCATTTTTAACAAGGACCCTAAGTAATTCTGATAAAGATGAACTACAGACCACACTTTGAGAAACAGTTCTCGATGTTGTTCAACAGGCAATGTTCTCTCCAATTTGAAATTCCATACAACCATGAAAACTAAGCCTACGATTTATGTTACAGTCACTAAAACTAGGAGCAGAACTAAAACAATACACAATAGCTAATTTTTATACTGAGGTACTGTATTGAGTATTTTTCAGTTTTCTTTCATGTAATCCTTACCACCATATGAAGTAGATATGAAGTATATACATGAGAAAGTTAAGGGTCAGGAAGTTATTCATTTTCCCATATCACGTAGCTTCTAAATGGTGGAACACAAGTATTAAACCCACACTGTCTACCCAAAGCCTATTCTCCTAACTTCTGTGTTATGCCACCTCTCCTTTTATAATATATCTATCTGATACTTTATTGGGTAAGACAAAGTCAAGTAAAAAGAGAGAAAACAAAAACAAACCTCACCTTCTTCACCATTTTATCTACAGGTACCATTGTTGCCTAGTTACCTTCTCTAAGCATGTCTCAGTTCCTAATGATAAACCACTTTGCCATGGAAACAACACACACTGAAGATGGGAAGTTTAAAATCTCTCTCAAGGATGGGTGCTCGGATTACCGTATAGTAGTCAAGACAAGGAAGTTCTGGATCAGCTCTAATCCTGGGGGAATAAAGCAACTGGGTAGGTATCCAGCAGAATAGGGAAGACCCACTAAAGATCTTCAGACCTTCGACTCAGGGACTTTCAGATACTGGATCTCTAAAAAAGGTATGACATCCATTTCATCTGATAGACACCCAGAAGCTGACAGCCTGATCTAAATGGACCCTGAAGTTTTAGTCACATGAGGTTTACAAAACTAACATAAGGTAGACACTTCCCCTCTACCAGGAAGGATTTCTACACTTCATTGAGGATGCAAACTAGCAGTAATCTCTCTTTGATCAAAAAAGAAGCCTAACTAATTGAAAAGACTTTTTCCTTTTTCTCTCCTTCCAGTTTTAGAAAAACAGAAAATAGTCTAGTTTGTGCTATGAAGGAAGACTTGAAATCTGAAAACATTTTGTCCCACTCTGCATGGAAGTTCACTAAAGTGAAACAAGAATACATTCCTGGGAAGGACGCTATCAGACATCCACTTCACTGTAAGTTAATAATAAGCAGGATCCCTTTTCACACCTAGTTGAGTGCTGCCTAAAGGAAAAAGTGTTTTTATTTTTCCGGGGGGGGGGGCATAACAAGAAGGTTCATTTTACAGCATGAATACGCTATGGAATGACAGATCTGAGGGAAGGGAGCGCTGGGAAAACATGAAAAGTGGGCACATCAGGAGCCCAAGATCCCAGGAAATAGAGCCCTTCTAGAGATGAGGAAGAAAAGAGCACCTTCCTCCACACATTGCCAATAATTCATTTAACCTAGCTCTCCTCAGGTTCCTGCTCAGCTTGAAGGGTCAAATAGTTGAGAAGGTAGCCAGATTCTGTTATCAGAATGGGGTAACCACCTCTTACCTCCACTTCTACTGCCCACTTTCCTACCTGCCACACTATGCCAGCTCCAGAAGGTTGAAGGTAAACTGCGGCAATTACCATCACCAGGTATCTCTAGGAGTTGCTTCAAAAACTAAGCACATGTAATTTTGGTGTGCTATGTATTTCCTAGGTTCTATCTCACACATCATAAAGCTACCTCCTTGATAAAATGTAAAAGACACGGTTCTGGAGTACCACCTAGCAAATTTCAAGTATCAACTCTCCCACCTATTACTTAACATCTCTCAAATCTATTGTGAGAATCAAAATGAGATCTTGTAGGTACATCACCCACCATATGGCAGGAGCTCAGTAAGTGACAACTATTATTTGAGGAAGGCGGGGGTTCTAGTACTTTTAACAAAGTTTTTAAAAAGCATTTTGCGTTTTCAAAAGGTTTAAAACTGTCCTCTTGCTCTAACTAGAAAATACTATTGATCATTTTTCAGGGCAACTCTCTCCCAAAAAAGTTTCCATTGTCTAAAATCTTTGACAAAATAAATAGTAAGAAAAATTCATCCTACTCCTTGCATTTCTGAATGACTCTTGAACCACTTCATCTGTTTATTTAGTTAGGAGACACTGTACCGTTTCCTGAAATTCCCAGCCATTCTTCCTGAAAGATTTTAACAGAAATTCCCCAGACAGGGAAAGACAAAGGTATATGTTGTCAGTATTCATACGTAGATAAAAACCACCCATATCTTCCTTCACTAGACTCTAACAGGAGAGCAACCAGATGATAAATTTTACCTCTTTCCATTTCCACAATTTGAATCTCTTTTTAGTTATTTTTCTTTTTTCTTTTTTTTTAGAGGAACAAAGATTTTTATTGAAGCTAAATAAAGTACAGCTCTCTTACAAGAGGGGTATCCGAAACTGGGATGCCCCTTGAGTTATTCTTTATGAATGACTCCAGTGGAACCCAACAGCGCCATTCAGAGCTTTCCCAAAAAAGCTCCCGAATATAGAGATAAAACAACAATTTTTGGGTCCCTAAAGTAATAACAGAAACAAACAAACCTTGGATTTTGTTTTTTTGTGTTTTTTTTTTTAGCTGAGCCATCCTGCTACCTGTTGGCAGCTCAGAGGCTGCTCAGCTTGGGCTGGACTCGAACCGCTGTTGCTCAGAGCTCAAACTCTTGAGCGAGCTCTTAACCAACTGAGCCACTCGGCCGGCCCTGGATTTTGTTTTGTTTTGTTGTTTTTTTTTTAAAGAATGCCTTTACGTCCTAAACACAAAATCAGTGTATCAGAAATACACCCAAACCCTCAGACAAAGCACATAAACTCTCTAAAGGAATCTTGCTTAATTTACTTCTCACTTCTTTGCTACTCACTTATCAAGTCTTAAGAAATGCTAATACACTCCCAGCCTCACGTCTCTTCAGGGATCCAAATATGCTATGCTGACGTATTCAGTCCCCCAAATCCGGAACTGTTTTTGTGAAACAGAAATACTTAGCAGCAGGCAGTGCTATACTAAATTAACCATGTCATTAAAACAAAGTGACAAACCATTCCTAGTCTCACCACTAGGCGAGGGTAAGCAGTAACCAGCACGCGGCCACAATCGCAGATTTATCATTAACACTTATCAGCCAAAGAACGAGGTTAGCGGCTGCACCTCCACTATAAGGAACAGGCGTGGAGCCGGCTGAGGAATGAATGAGGCGGGCGGGGAGCTACCGAGGGGGCACAGGGCAGGACCTGGAGAGGCGGGGCCGCACCGCTCGGGCCCCGCCCCCAGCCCTGCCCCCGGCCACCGCGGATCCGCTGCAGCGCCGCAGTCCCCGCACTGTAGCAACGCGCGCCCCGGGACCCCTTCCCAGTACCGCCTTCCCCTCGTCGCGCGGCCCCCAGCACGTACCTGCTTTGCAAACGGGGGCGCTCGGGCTCCTCCTCTCCGGGGAGCATCGGTTCTGCTCCGGGGACCTCCTCCGGTGCCGGACGCGGGCTGGGGGTGGGGCCACGTTCACCTCGCCAGTCCACAGGTGGGTGGGCGACGAGCAAGGCGAAGACACAGTGCCCAGCAGCGGCGGCGGGGGCTGCGGCCGTGGGGGGCTTCCTCGAGCCCCGGGCGCGGCGCCGCGCGTGGGGCTGGTGCCTCGCGTGGACGTCGCGGACGCGCCCGTCTGCGTGGCCACCGTGGGGCTGGTGCGCGCGGCCGCACCCCCGCCGCCGCGCGTGGGGCTCGTGCTGCGTGAGGCTGTGCGCGGGCCCCCGCCACTGCTGCCGCCGCCGCCGCCTGAGGGGCCTGAGGCGCCGCCACAGCAGCCGCTGTTGTTGTTGCCGCCGCCGCTGCCGCCGTTGCTCCGCGTGGGGCTGCCATGTTGCTGCTGCTGCTTTAGCTGGAACGGAACCGTCGCCCTCATGGGCTGCAGGCGGCTCCCTGCTCCTCCGGGCGTGCCGACCGCACCGCCCCCGAGGGAGCCGGCCGGCGTGGGGGACCCATTACGCCTCACCCGCTGGGACATGGTCCACCCTCCCCGGTGACTGAGCGAGACGGGGAGTTTTGTTGTTGTTTGGTTGAAAGGGTAGGATTCTGGAGGCCGAAGGGAAGGTCCCCGCGACGGGGTGACGAGGCCGGAATCCGAGGGACGCCCAAGCCACGGCCGGCAGCAACGAGATGGTGTAGCCGCCGCCGCCGCCGCTTCTCCTCATCAACAATAGTGTTTCCCCCGCCCCCCGCGAACGCCCATTGGTGCAGCGTCAGCCGCGCTCGAGCCGCTCTACAGCGCCCATTGGCTGCGAGCAGCTCGGGTCCCGGGCCCGGGGCCTTAGAGAGCCCGGGTTTGCGCGGAGACCGTCTGCTCTTTAAAGAGAAAGAGACCCGCCCCTCTGGGGGAGGGGGAGCGGAGGAAACAGGCCGTGTGTATGTGTAGTATACGCGCGCGCACGTATGTGTGTGTCTGTGTGTACACGTGAGTACGTGTACGCGCGCTCCTGGCCACGCGCGTATTTCCCTTCCCACTGCGGGGGAGCCCTGGGCACTCAGACTCAGGAATATTGCCTAAGGGAATGTCCTGAACCAGAGCGGTCCCCAGGGATGTCTGAAGCCTTACACTCATAACTCATTTCCTTACCTCAGTATTTACTGACAGAAGCCGTGCACGTACGTCTCTTTCTGGCTTTTTTCTTCATCTTGTTGTGTCCAAATTACATCAATGTTTGGGCAGGGCTCAAAGGAAAAGAAATTTAATTAATCTTACTGGCATTTTACAACTCGTCTCTTTTTTTTTTAAGCTCTACGAAGAGCCAAAACTCAGAAATTTTAAAATTGCTTGTTAGAATGCAGTTTTAGATTGTATCTATGAAGTCCAGTTACCAAATGCTATGACTACCCTCCTGTATCTCAAGTAATCAAGAATTTATTTTAAATCAGCTACTTCATGGTCCCCTGATACCTTACAAATTTGTGAAATGCCATAGTTTAGTGCCATAGTTTACAAAGGGCCTTATCTGATCCTCACAATCATTATTTGAGATAAAACTTGTCCAGCCATTCATATTTTTATCTAGTGGAGGAAACAGGTCTCTGTAGTATGGCCAAGAACTCAGGAAGGCACAGGCAGTAACACTATGTTCTAAAATAACCTTAGGGGCTCCTCATGTAGACTCCCCCCCCCAAAAAAATAGGTGGACTCTTATCCCACAAACCTTCTCAGGCTATAAATCGCCTGTCCATGACCTCTTTTCCCTTTACTACTTTATTAAATGTACATTCTAGACAGATTGCATCTTGTAAAAAGTGGAAGGCACTGTATGATTTGCTCCGGACCTGAAATTCTGCTCGATCCCTGTGTATTGTGGTGGAAAGCCTTTGAAGACTTAGAAAAGAGATTCAGGTCCCAGATCCACTGCTTACTATGTGGCCTTTTATAGGTCACTAGCTGTAAAATGCAGTTAAACAATGTCATCTCCTTCATACAATTGTTGTGGTTATTAACCAAGGGTTAAATGAGAATGTGATAGGTAGAGGGTACTCAACAGTTCCAGAGTCTCCATGTGATTCAGAGGTCCATCTCTCTCCTTATCACCTATTCCTCCTCTCTCTCCTACCACAAAGAGAGACCCCAAGCCCAGGAAACTGCCTAGTTGACTTGTGCTATGGGTAAACCTAACATCAATACCCATCCCCATAACCTGGGGTGTAAACAAAAACAGCTTCTCACTAGACAGGACGCACAGGAAACTGCCCGCAAAATCCATACAGATAGCTAAGGCTGTTCTGAAAACAATGGGTAAAAGAGGAGATAAGCCTTTAAATAAGGATGTCATGGAAGCTGTATCTGGCACTTAGTCCTGCACCAAGTAGGAGCTCGATATATATTTACTGAATTAAACCACAGGAGTTCAGCAGCTCTATTGTCTTAGGCTTCCTGATCATTTTTGATGTTACTAAACTAGAGACCTATTTGTTGGTGGCAAGAGACTTTTAGTTTTTCTGAGCTAAAGTACTGATTTCAGCACATAAGTTCATTAGATTAAAGAGTTAAAATGTCCTTGGCTCAATCATGAGTTCATCTTTTGCTTCTAGTGATATTTCCTATAGAAACTCCAACTCCACATTTCCAGAAAATGCCTCCTTTTCTTCTTATTTGGCAGCTTACCTCACTCAAATCAGTTTAGGGCTTAACTTTAAACAAATGAGAGCACATCAACTGAAGCAGGTATTAACCATTTCAGCCCCCTTTGTACTAAAGGATATTTGTCATAACTTGTAAATAAAATTTTGAAGATATTAAATCATCAAAGAATGCTACAAAAAAAACCAAAAATAAACACTTGCTTGGATACCTTAGAATTCTTTGGTCTGGTTTTAAGATTAAATGGCAATGCATAAAAGCGTCATTTACCTGACTTCATTATCTGTTGTTGAAGATTCAAAACAATGTGCATCAGGGTGATGTATTGGTCTTCAGTTTGCTAGTTTATCTATGAAGAGAGTCCTTATATTTCAGGGATCAATAAAAACATGTCTCCCTCTGATTTAACCTTGTTCTTCTTAGAATATAATTCAAATTTTCCATTTTCTCTCCAAGGTTGAAATGTGGCTATGAAGTTGAAGAAGGCAATGTATTAGAATTGATTTATTTGTAAACTCCAAAAGACAAAATTGATAGGCTCATTTGCTTCTGTGCTCTTTTAGCTCCTCAAAATGATCTTGTTATGGTAAAGGAGGGTGGGTTTTAAGGAAAAGTTTACCTGTCTATAGTTTTTTTTTCTTCCCACAGTTTTAGTAGAATCAGCCATAATATTATTTTATAAATCCCTAAAATATCATTTAATGGAACATTATACAGCCACTAAAATGGTAATTATGAAGTCATGAATTCCTTTCATTCTAAAATGGAAGAAATAAAATCCTTGGTAGCTACAACAATACAAAAATGTTTATACATTATAAACAAATATTGGAGGATAAAATACTGATATGAAAATAAAATAGTCATTTTTAAGGTGGGATTTGGGGAGGTGTATTTTTTTTTCCCTCAAGAAATGTTCATTTCCTAATAAAAGGAGAGAATAATCAGAACTTAAATTGTGAAGTGATATCCTGTACTTAAAATTAGACTGCTACTTCACTGAGACTTTTGTCTTAGACCATTTCATCAAGGCCTTCCATAGCACCACAGGTTCCAGTGTTACTCTTACCTCTCTGGTCATTTTGCTGGCTCCTTCTCAATCTGACCTTAAATGGTGAGAATACCTCAGGACTTCCACTGACCATCACACTGCCATCTATACAACTGCCTGCTTGGCATCTATCCTTGTATATTTCACAGGCGCCTCAAACCTTGTCCACAGCTGAATTCATCATCTTCCAAGCACACTCACCCAGCAACAACTGGCTCCTCTTCCCATTTTCTATTATCTCAATAAATGGTGCCACTGTCTAGTCATTGGTCTAAATTAAAACCCTGGAAGTCATCTTAGCTCACCCACTCCGTTGTGGCACGTTCAATGACTCACATATCTTAACTACTCTAGTTTCTAAATCTCTTGTGAATCTACCACTATTCTCCAAACTCACCATCTCTTCTAGCCATACCTCGTTCTACTCTGAACTATGCTCTTACATTTACCTAGACAGTCTCCCTAGATCATTTCTGCTGCAGCCTACTTCTCCAAGCACCCTACTTTCCCAAGTTCCCCATTTCTCACCTGTAATTCACACATCTATAGTGGTCCTTTAAAAATAAAAACTTAGGGCCGGCCGAGTGGCGCGGTGGTTAAGAACTCGCTTGGGATGCCAGAGGGCCCCGGTTCGGATCCCACATATGAGGGCCAGTGACACTGCCCTCCACAGCTAAGATGCTGAACAACAGCTTAACCTGGAGCTGGGCTGCCGTGAGTCGCTGGCGACGGCGTAGGCTGCAGTCCCTGTGGCAGTGGGTTGCCATGGGCTACTGTATGTAGCCAGCAGCCAGCGTGAGCGGCCAGCAGCCGCAGTGAGCGGCCGTCCAGAAACCGGCGACTGATCTGCCTCGCCCGGGAAGAGCGCAATGATGGTGCCAACTTGGGCCAGTGAAGCAGCGTCCTCCACAACTAGATTGAAGAACAAAACGACAGCAACTTGTCTGTTCCCCTTCCCCCAATTCCCCATCACTGTTCCCATCCCCCCAATTACCCAATAAAAAAAAAATCTTTTAAAAAAATAAATAAATAAATAAATAAATAAAAATAAAAACTTAATCACCTCACTCTATTGCCTGAAGCTTTCCGTTTCTCTTAGGATGAAGCTCCCAATCCTGAGACTTAACCACACGTTCCATAGGCCCACCTGTTCCCCTCTAGGCTCCAGCCATACTGGTCTTCTTTGATTTACCCCATATACCCCATAGTTGCATCCTGAGGCCTTCACACTTGTTAGTTCCTCTGTCTCGAACACTCCTCATTCTCATCACTTGGCCAACTCTTGATCAGTTTTTAGATTGGAGGCCATTTAAATTGGCTTCCTCTGGTTTACAATAACATCATACATCCCTGTGGTAGTAATTATAACACAAATATCTGTTCAGTATCTATATTTCCTTCTCAATGTGAAGCTCAACAAGAGCCAGTTTCTTCATTCAACAAATACTCATTTGCTGCCTTCTATGTGCAGAGTACTATGAGAGACATTGACTCTATAGCAATGAACAAACCCGCAAGCTCCTTGTCTTCTTGAACTTACATCTGATGGAAACAGACAATGAACAAAACAGGCATGTGTACACGCACACATACCCACCCACATAAATAAATCACCAATTGCAAAGTTCTATAAAGAAAACCGTAGAGTGCCATGAAAGAGAACAACAATGGAGATCTAGCTAAGCTAGTTCGAAAGGACTTTCTGAAAAGGTAACATTTAAGATGAGACCTGAAAGATAAGAATGTGCCATCCATGGAAAGACTATTCCAAACAGGGAATATCTATATAGAGACTAAAAAAAGAAAAAGCTCTGTGTTTAAGAAACCAAAGAAATACTAGTGTCAGCAAAGGCGAGAATAGTTCAGAGATCATATTGGAGATGGGAGAGGTAAATAGAGGTTAGATGATGTAGAGACTTTTAGATCCAGGTAAGGGATTCAGATTTTATTTATTCTAAGTGCAACGGTGTATTTTGAATAAAGCTGAGTCCACTCATTATATCAGCAAAGCATCTCATTCAAAAGAAACAAGATATCAAAACTAAAAATGAAAGGCAATCTAATATTTACTGAAGTCTATGAAAAGCACAAACGGGAAATTTGTGTACGTGAGTCTCAAATTTTGATCTAAGTTCTACTCAGTACAGCACAGCAACAGTCTCCAATCTCTCTTTTCTCTAAATAGTACAAAAAAGAAAAAGGAAGGAAGGAAGGGAGGGAGGGAGGAAGGAGAAGGAAGGAAAAGAAAAGAAAAAAACAAAATGAAACTAGGGCAGACCTGGACCTAGCTCTTTTTTCTTTGGCCTCATTCTCTCACCTTCAAGAGTCCATTCTTGCTCTATCCTTTCTCACCTCACCATTTCAGCATCTCTACCGATTTATCCTAATCAGCACAACAGAAGCCCCAGAGCCCAGGGGTAGAATCTTCCCAGACAGGTGTGGGGATGAAAGGATACTTATATTTTCAGTTTTGTCTATCTGTTTTGATTGTGTTTGTTATCACTACTGGTTGCTGCTTTCACATTGGGAATCCACTGTGGCCACTGTGTGGAGAATGGCTTATAGGGGAGCAAGAAGTAGTAAGGAAAATAATGAGGAGCCTATTGCAAAGAAGTCTGAGCAAGGGGGAATGCAGAAAGGAAAAGTGGATGGATTCAAGATCTACCTTCTAGGTAGAACAAATTTGTCTTGAAGGGGTTAGGATGAGGGAGAATTGTTGTCAGGGAAGTCCCCCAGGTCTCTGGCTTGAACACCTTGGTGATGGTGGTTAGTTCATAGAGATGGGGAAGAGAGGAAGGAGGAACAGCCTTCAGATCAAAATCAATCTAGATTTGGATGTATTATGTTTGAGTTTATAAGGAATTATTTAAAAGGAGTCATCAAAAAGGCAGCTGTGTATATAAGACAAGTTCAGAGAGGTCAGGCCAGGAGGCATAAATTTGGGAGTTTTCAGCACATAGATGTTATTTGCAGTTGTGTGAGCAAATGAGACCACCTAAGGATTTACCACTACTTCTCTGCCTTAGCACAGTGCCTGTCACACACTGAGTGCTCAAAAGTTTTATAATTTAAGCTCCTGTTGGTGTTGTTCATCCTGTATCCTCATACTTAGGACAGTGTCTGGCATATATGGCAGGTACTCAATAATTTCCCGTAAATGGAATGAATGATTTAGCAACTGTACCATTCACAGCAGCAAAACATTGATTTCAGACTCATGTGTCTCAGACACTAAAGACCATTTGCTTTCACCATTGGAAGGTACTCCAGTTCAGCAGAGAGTCTCAAAAACCTGGTGAGAAAAACAAGTACATGGTGTCCCCATTATATAAAGGAGGAAATTAAAGAGGTTATATGGCTTGCCCAAACCAGAGCCCAGGTCTTTTGACTCATATTCCAACATTCTTTCACCATAGTAGGAATCACTTTGAACAGATTAGCAGCTGTTCTACATATTTTGTATCTGCCAATTAACATAAGTTGTGAAGAAAGAAAAAAAGAAAACCTAAATAAATTAGGTTTGGAATTGGTGAATATTGCCACTTAAAACAATCTTCTACCATCCTACCATGCAAGCTTTTCCATCAAGATTCAGCTCAAATATCATGGCCTTTTCCTCTTCCCAAAAGCAGGATGTTGGCTCGCTCCTCCCTTTGTTCATTGATGTTGTGCTGTCAGAGGTATGGTTACCATTATACCAGCAGTTTTGTATCTTTTCAGAAAACCTTCCTATATTATAAGATACATTAATGAACAAAGGCATAGTATAGAACAGTGTACAATGCCAACAGGGCTTTGCTTTTCTCTTTAAGGGTTATAGTTATGTACATGCTTGTATGGGCATGCATAGAGAGTTTCTGGAAATTCTCCCAAGAAACTGGCCTTTAAAAAGAGGAACTGGGAGGGGGAGGAGTAGGAAGAAGATATTCTTTTTATGCACACTGTTTGTACTATTTTTGAGGTTTTTAATGCATGTTTATGTATTAGTTCTGCAAAAAAAAAAGAATTTAATGTAAAAAAAATAATCTCAGAAATCCAGGTTATTTCGGTGAACACTAAGTTTGAAATTAGGATTTATAAATGATAATTGCAGTCTTATATAAACTTCAGTATCCGAAATATTTCTGAATTTTGTTTCAATTGCATAATATTGAGAAAATCCTGATCAACAAAAATAAGTAATTGTAAATGGTAACCATATTC